CTCACTGGGCTGTGCTGTGCTTGCCTCCCCCATGTCCCCTGACCAGTGCTAACCATTCTTCTAGTCTCCGCTCAACATGCACAGGCTTCTTCTGCCACCCTGCTTGGGATGGCCTTTGGTTTCCTAGGGTCGCAGGAGCTGCACTGCTTGTTCCTGCCACTTGGCACTGTGGGAGTTGCAGCCTTTTGTAACTGTTTTGTTTTGTATCTGGAACCCTAGGAAGGCAGGGATCGCGCCTGTCTCCATGACTACTGATGCTTGGAGATGACTGCGTTAAACAACTGAGCACATATTGAGGGTGAGAACAGGGTTTCGGGCCACATTAGTTGGCTCTGAATTCAGGTTTCCCAATGTGTGAGCCATGTAACCTCAGGCAAGTGACTGAGGCTGTGCCTCAGTTTCTTCCTCTGGGATGAATAAGGTGATGAAGGGTATCCATCCTATGCAAGGTTATGAGGATGAAATAAGTAAAGACATACTACGTCCTTGGAATAACATCTGACATATACACTGTGCTTGCTAAGTGTCAGCTATCTGCAAGTTGAGACTATTAGCCAAAACCCTTCTAGAAGGGAAAAGGGGCTTGAGGAGCAGAACTGATCTATGTAGACCAGGCCCATATGTGGCCAGGGCTGACCCTCCAGACTCAGCATTCTCTCTCACAGGCATGTCCTGTGCAGAAGCCCACATGCTACCTGTCTTCATTCTTTATCTCATTGGGTGGTCAAGCCACAGGGTCACCCCTTGACCCTACTGATGACACCTCTGGTTCCTGGGAGGAGCCAGAGAGTGGGGAAGGATGGATGGGCCAGGCCAGGACAGGGTCAAGGAATCTGTGAGAGTATCATAGCTTTAAATTCCCAGCAGAAATCAGAAAATCTGATCTTGCATATCTAAGAATAGCTTCTGGTTTCGGCTGTGAGAGGTGCCAAAGTGAAAGCTATAATTATTAGTAAGTAACAAGCAGAAACTGACCACCTGCCACCCCAATGTGGGAATTGAAAGATGGGTGCCAAGAAGCTGCTTGGTTCTGAAGGGCCCTGGTTCAATTACTATGGCTGTTTGAGTTCTGATGGCCAACAGCGAGGCTTGCAGCCTTCAAAAAGGGAAGTGCGTGGTTGGGGGGCTCCATGCTGAGGCTCTCCCGGTTCTGCCCTGGGAAGAGTACATGGTGCTCACCAATGTCTACTGGGGTCCCCCTGCCTCAGAGTAGAGGGGAGACCCTCCCTCTGCCCTTCTTTACAAAACACTATGTACAAATGGCACCATGAGATACTAGTACTTTCAAGAAGAGACTGAAAAAATTGATAGCTGCTTTCTAAATATGTGATGCCATACAGAAAGATTAATAAATATATTTTAAGAGCTGTTTGGAAAAAACACAAAGAAAATTAAAATGAGGGAAATACTAGCATACCTATCGGAGACACAAGGCAAATTTATTACACTCTGACATATAATAAATGCTTGTAAGAAAAGATGAAAAGCTCAATATCTAGGAAATGGGCAAAAGCCACGAGCAGCCAATGGAAACACCATTTCTTCACGTATCAGACTGGCAAAGATGGAGGATTTTGAGACTCTGCGGTATTGGCAAGGAAATGAGAAAATGGACATTCACACGTTGATTGGGATAGAAATTGGTGTGGTTCTATGGAAGGCAAATCAATATAAATTAAAGACACCCACCCTTTGACCCATCAGTGCCACTTTTTGGAGTTTATCTTAGAGACATAGAAAATGTATTTCAGGATACTTATTGAAACATTGTGTGTAATGGCAATAATCTAAACACTAATTAATATGTGCTGGTTAAATTATGGTGCTTCCGTTACATGGGTGCATACTAAACGCTGTAAAAAGGGTGAGCCAGCCTTGTATGTGCTGATATCCAACTCTCCCAGACACTGTGTTATGAGGGCACATGGACAAATCACAGAGTGGATAAAAGCTCCAGAAGGAACACAAAACTGCTACCAGTGGCTCCTATAACAGGTGACTGAGCCCTGGGGATAGGAGGAGCCTTTTAACTTTACATCTTTTTTTTCACCTTTTCAACTATGTACTACAAGAGTGTGCTGTATTTGTTTGAAAACAATTTAAATAAAATTGTGACACTGGTTACAAAGCAAGGAACAAACGTACAACCCAGGCTGGATGACCACCAGACGTCCTGGTGAAAAAGTCTGAGACTATGGTTTCAGGGATGTCCAGGATCGAAGAGGAGACATAGAGGGAAGGGGACACGCACCACATAGAGGGAGGGTGTGTGTTCAAGCATCGCTGTCTTCCTGAATACATGCTCCCAGCTGGAACTTTGGCCAGTTTCCTCACTGAGTGGCAGGAGACTCAAGTGTCCTGCTCATCATCTTCCCATCAAATGCATATAGAAGTGTCCCCCAAACCTTCTAATGTAGCAGGCTGGAATCTGAGACCATCTCAGGATGACCCTTCCTGAAAAACTCAAATCTGGACCATCTGCACCATGGGCTCCTATCACTAGCTCCCACTATACTTAGAAAAACAATCAAGAGAGGACAGGGTAAATACAATTAAGATACATCATAAGCACAAATGTAAATGTCACAATGAAACCCCTCTTTACAACTCATATATGCTAATAAAAATTTTCATCATAAAAAAATCAACCAAGAGAGAACAGGCCCACAAATGCCGTAGAAACACCACAACATTGGGTGTTAGGTCTTGATCTGCTTTCTCTAAAGTTTGCAGAATTGATGGAGTCTGGCAGCATTGCTGTAGCTGACAGTGGACATGGAAAGCAGATGTTACCTGGTTCTCATGAACTGTCAAAAAATGAGGTCACTTTTATTTTGCCTCTCAGAGCAGTGAGCTCAAATCACACATGATAAGTCCTAATAGTTCAGTGGAAGCTGTTTTCTTCTAAAATTTCCTCTTTAAAAACTATGTGAATATATGACAGGATTCTAAAATCTTGATTCAGACAGTCATTGCTTTGGAAAGAGTCAATGTGGTACAAATTCTAAGAAGATTCTACTTTTCTCCATCCATTCATGCCACATGCACTGTTTATTATGTGTGTACAAGCACGTCTGCCTAGAGGCTATAAGCAAGTATAGCACTTGCTTTTCCTAGTTCAGTTCCACTCACTTGTAGAATGTAAAGCCATACCCACTGACCAGTAATGGCACCTTTATTTTGTCCTAGAGGCCATGACAATGAGAAATGGAGCTTCTGTGATTATGTAAAATTCAAGGATAGCTCCTAACAGAATCTTAGTCATTGAGTTCTTCAATGGCCTAATAAGCAGCTATAAAATTTCCTCACCAAGAGTCATGGCAGGTCACGCAAAGAGGGGCAAAGTGCCTGGATAGCTGAGTGAGGGGCAGCAGCTGCCAGGCAGAGCTCTCTGGAGCCTTACGGCCCTCAGATCATCAAGTTTTCCAAGAACCAAGCAGGAGAAGCAGCAGCTGTGAAGTCAGGAGCAGTTCCACCTGGAAGCAATACTTCCATTCCTAGGCTTTACGCCTTAGCCCTTCCCAAACTCAATTTCAAGTCTGCTTTGAAAGACAGCCCCGCCCTCGCCAGTCCTGTGTGTTTAGTCAGGCTTCCCTGGCTTGAACACTAGACCACACTCCTTTCCTGTCTGGTCTCCAGGGTCACTGTTCACGGAGGTGACTGAGCAGGATGGTTATTCTGGCAGAGAGCCAGGGAGGAGGCCTTCCTGCTGGGCCCTGGCCCTCTGAGGCAGCCTGCCTGTGACCTCTCTGGGCGCAGGGCTCAAGGCTACGGAGCATATGCAGCAGGGAAGAACAATTGCACATGCATGAATCAGCCCTCTTTTGTACTTCTGCTCAGAAGAATATAATTTGTAAATTTACGGTAGTTGTTATAGCTCAATTAAAGATGCCAACACAGAAAATGCTGACTGAGCTAGGCTCTGTGACTGCCAAAGCCAGGTAAGTCCAGCCACTCTTTCACACACATAGGACTGCCAATGGTGACACAAGGTTGAGCATCACACAACTGGCCTTGGCAAAGGAGTAATCAGATGGACAACTGGTAGGTCATGTGCACCCTTTATAGCCACATTTGGACTCTCAGACCCCACCCTGAGGGTCGAGCCTCAGAAGGCTCATCCAGATATGCAGATCAATGATAAAACATGAGGGGCAGAAATTACTTTTCATGCAGAAATAGAAACATGCAAGTACATCAGCAGGCATCATTTGCCTGGGAGCACTGTACCGTGGGATTATGGCTCAAATGCCCAGTGTTGGACTTACTTGTGGGTTCCCAGCTGTGCAGCAGCATGGCTGAGGCAGCCGACTGCCACAAAAAACCAAGGCAGGGGCGACTGTCCCTGCCTCTGGACCAGTTTTCCAATCACTGGCAGTTGCTACTGCCTCCCTCTCTGTGGGTGACTGGGGTGCCATCAGAGGGGAGTGGGGATACCAACCGCGTTGCCTTGCCCTGGCTTCGATAAAGGCATCTGTGTCATCAGTGCCCCTCATCCCCTCTCCTGAAGACTTGCCTGCTGAGAAGTGGTAAGCATGATACTTGTTAACCTAGGAGACACTTTTGTTTTTGTTTTGTTTGTTTGTGTGTGTGGTATTGGGGGGTTTGAACTCAAGGCTTTGCGTGTGCTAGGCAGGTTCTTTACCACTTGAGTCACATCCCTACCCAAGGCAGATGCCATTGTAACCCCAGTGTGCAGATGAAGATACTGAGGCCAAGAGGTAAAGACAGAACTCAGTTCTTCCCAGCTGGAAAGTAGCATATCTAGGATTCCACTTAAGTCACCCACAAAGACAGACGGGGGTATATCCCTGCACCCTACATGGCAAGCTCCCCAGAAGTCCTGAGTCTGGTTCACAAAAGCTCTCCTAGATGCCTGCTCTGGGCCAGGGGTAGAGCAGGGAGGGCAGGGGAGACACAGAGTAACTCCTGGTCCTTGTACAAAAGCAGTACCTGTTTGGTGTTTAGTCAAGCACCAAACAAAAGCTTTGGTTTCTCACAACCCATGAGGGGTCCTGGGCTCACTGACAAGTAAGAGTCTGCAGGAGCCTGCAGCCTCTTCCCAGCAAGGGATTGCTGGACGGGGTAGGTGGGTGGAGGAGCCCATGCAGGAGCGAGCAGAGTGGTACCTGCATGGAGCCAGATCTGTGCCAGTGTCATCCAGGGATGCAGCGGGCCCTGTTTGGGGGCACTGCTCTGCAGAGATGAGGCCACTTCTGACAGTGCCTGCTCCACTCTTGAGGCTGCTACCGATGTGGCATGGATGGAGCCTGTGGGAGGTTTCAAGTAGATAGGATCAGGAGTGAAAAGGTGGAGAACCAAATCACACAACCAACAGACGAGCCCTCCCATACACAGACGCCAGTGCGAACGTACACACGCCCCTTTCCCCAGGATGTTTCTGAGTTACTGTTCATGAGGAAATGGGGACAACTGTTATGGCTGGAACCTTTCTTCCATCCTGTTGCTTAGCTGATCCTTTAGTCAACACACAGGGCACATGCTATGCTAAGCGCTCCCTCAGGAGCTCAGTGGCACAGTGTGAGTGCAGGGCAGGAAGGAAGTTCAGCTAGACACACAGCAGGGATACAAGTGTTAACAAATGGCATACCCAGGGCCTACGAAGGGATGGTCCAAAACACCCTGTGAGGGCCACCCTCACCTCCTGGGTGGTGTTTGGGTAGATGGCTGGCCATTCTCAGGACAAATTCACTTCCCATTGTACCAGTGCAGCCTGGCCTTCGAGAGGTGGGCAACACCTTGCACTGGGAACCATGTTCTATGTAGCAAAGAACACTTTTCCCCTGTTGATAGCAGATTTCTATTCTTTTTTTTGGCTGCACTGGGATTTGAACTCAGGGCCTCACACTTGCTAGGCAGGCGTACTCTACCACTTAAGCCATGCCCTCAGACCCTTTTTGCTTTTTAGTTATTTTTCAGGCAGAGTCTTTTATTTTTGCCTGGAGCCGGCTTCAGACTGCAATCCTTCTACCTATGGCTTCCCCATAGCTGGGATCACTGGTGTGCACCACCATGCACAGTTTATTGGTTGCTAACTGTTTGCCCAGGCTGGCCTCCAACAGTGATCTTCTTGCTCTCTGATTCTCACATAGCAGATATCTATTCTTAAGACTAGTACTGGATTAGTGGAGGATGGCTCACAGCAAAGATGTTTGGGGCTCAGAACACACACCCAACTATCATGTAAAACCTGCTGTTCTGAAAGGCTAAGGAAAGGGTCCATTCAACACATTCATCAGGTCCAAAGACATAGGTGTGGTGGTGAGTCAAAATGGAATGGTGATCCATGGAGATCGTGATGACTAGAGACTACCTCCTTAAACAGGGGCCTGTCCCTCACCTCTTTCCAGTATTTACTCTTAAGGTATGGTTTCAGAAATTTAAAACTATCAATATTTATACTGACCAGCAGCATTCTTAATTATAATTCATCAGGAAGTTTAGTATAGAGAAAAACATTTCAGCATCACTAGTGGGAACTATCAACTGTCCTGAAGTTTAAAACAGCGATAATATGTAAAGGTAAATGCTGACTATGAAGGTAAACTGAGTTCATTAGACTCAGGATAATATAAAATTGTGAGCAAAAAATTATCTTAGCTGAGCTTTCAAATGTACCATAATTTAAAGGATTTGTAAACTGGGCATGGTGGTACATACCTGTAATCCCAGTACTCAGGAGGCAGAAGCAGGAGGATCATGGAGTTTGAGACTAGCCTGAGCTATATAGCATAGCAAGACTCGGTCTCAGACAAACAAACAAACAAACAAACAAACCCTAAAACCAAACCAAAAAAGGATTTTCAATAGCTAGCCTTCCGACTGTGCCATAGTGATAATAACATGAACTTCTCAAATTCTTTGGTGGGGGTTTGGTGGATGGAAGACAAAATCTACTAAAGACCTTCCATCTTCAGAGAATAATCCACAGGCAGACAGGACACCCAGGAGGAAGCAGCCTCAGAAAAGACCTCGGAGTCATAGAGAGGGAAACATGCAAGGAAACTGAGGCCTAGATAAAAGATTCTAACTGATGGCTTTTGATGTGGAGAGCCTTTGGAGTCTGGCTATGAATCGACCCTAGTTAGACAAAGTATATCTAACTCTATTTAAAAAAAATCTTAATAGCAAAATGATTAAAATGCTACAGGTAATTTTGGTCTTACTTTGTTTTAAACTTTTTTATAGAATTAATACTTGAAACTTTGATGACAAGGACCTGATGTAGTTTCCCTGACATTTTCAGTAGCAATGATCAGCTAAATAAATGAATAATCTGGAGGCCATTGGTGCCATACTCTGCTATTACTAAGCTGGCTTGGCTTCTCACTGACTACCTTGAACAGTGGCCCTCAACCTTGACTCCACACGCAATCACTTGGGACTTAAAAAATCTTGACACAGCAACATTCCAGACCAAACAAGCCATAACTCTATGGCTGGTCACCTCAAGTGGTTCTAACAAGCAGCTAAGACTGAGAACCACTTGCCTGGAGGGACAGGAACAGATAATACAAATGTTTGGTCAAGAAAAACCTGGGCACAGGCTGGCAGCCTGAGCTCTCCTGCTTGCTTGTAGCCCAACAGTCACCTGGGGAACAGAGTTCCAAGAAGACCTCATTCTCTGGAATAGTGCTTCTCAGGTTCCTTGGTTCAGAATCCCTTTGGACTTTGGAAAACTGTTAAAGATTCTAAAGAGATTTAGTGGATTTTTATCTATAACATTTACCACATTAGAAACTAAAACTTAGATGTTTAAAACATTCAGGTTTTCTTTTTTTGTACTGGGATTTGAACAAAGGGCCTTGTGCTTGCTTGGCCAGTACTATATCATTTGAATCATACCTCCAGACCTTTTTACTTTAGGTTATTTTTCAGATAGGATCTCACTTTTTGCCCAGGGTCCACCTTGAACCCTGATCCTCCTACTTACAAGCCCCTGCTTAGCTGGGATGACAGGCACATGCCACCACACTTAGCTTGTTTTGTTGAGGTGGGGCTCAAGAACTTTTTCCTTGGACTGTCCTCAAATCACAATCATCCCGATCTCTGCTTCCTAGGCATCCCAACTTGCTGGGATAACAGATGTGAGCCACTGTGCCTGGCTAAAATATTCAGTTCTTAAAGTCATTAAATAATAATAAATTACTGCTACAGAAAAATTCTACAAATTCTCTACCACATTCTATGGATCCTTTGCTACAAGGACTTGTGGCTTTTGGAAGTGCTAATTTTGATTTTTGGATGAACTATTTTTGTTTGTTTTGATCCTCAAATAAGCCAGTCAGAACTCCTGCTGAAGTGCCTTTTCTTTGTGACAGCTATCTACAACTAAACTAATTAACTCTTGGCATAATTCCGTATTTCACTGTGAATGAGGTTTGGAAATGGTAATGATGATAATAATGATTGCAGTGGAGGTTATCAGGTTTGGAGAACATACTGTCCTTCAGGCTCTGTGCCTAGCACTTTACGTACATTATTTAATCTTTAAAGAGTTCTGGGAGGCAGGCAGTGATGTCACCTGCATTGTTTATATGGCAAAATTGAAATTTAACAAGGTTAAGTAACTGCCCAAAGTCATATAACCACTCAGCGGCACAAGGAGAACTCAAGCCCTGGTCGACTCCAAATCCACCCTCACCATCCAGCCCCAGGAGGGCTGCTGTGAGCCTCCGCCTGTCTCCGGGTGCTTGGTGCTTCCACGTGGCTGTCATTATCACTATACAGCCCACAGGCTGTAAAGTAGATGCAGCTGGCTCCATTACCAGACTGCGTTGTTCTAGAAGACAGGGGCCTCTGTTTAGGCGTTTTCAGAGACTAGCGATGCTAGGCCTATCCTAGGTAGCAGGTAAATGCCTGTGAAATGAGTATGTGTCCCATACAATATCAGAAAGAGAGTGGCCCCTCTTCCCTACTAATGGGGGAGAAGTCACAACTTTCATTGTCTCAAAGGGCTTTTTGGTATGGCTGTCATCACTTTTAGCAATCTGGACTGAAAGTGACAGAGCACACAGTTAGAATTAAACACTGGATGTCATTTAGTGACCTTCCCCTCTCGAATGTAACTAGCCTATTAACAGAAAAGAATGACTGAGTTTTATCAGAAGTACTTTTTTCCTTCTTAGTTCCTTGTTACGTTTCAGCAGGGCAGACAGCTTTCGTGTTCTGAACGAGGGATAGATATTGGAGCATTTCGAGATGCATTAACAGCAGCAGATGACTAACAATAATAGCAAAAATACAAAATAGTTAGCCTCGACTATTCCTGACAATAATACCATAAGTACAATCTTCCATTGGATTAGGGGGACTGATTAAAAAACAGACCAAAACAACATGTATCTTACTATTTCATAGGATTGAATCAATACAGATTCTGGATTTTGATTATGTAGCTAAACAATGAGAAAACACTGATTCTAACCCATGTATGTTTAAGAAACTCTTTTGTTTCTAATCAACACAAATGCATTCCTACCTTGCATACCACCTAGTGTAGAAATGGACATACTGAGGCTTAAAAGGAATCAGAAGGAAGATGAGAGGATATAATCCCAACTTGACATCCAAGACTCTGGAGAAATAAGTTTCCAGACAATCAGGTGAGCCGGGCAGATGCCTGGGCTGCTGTGCACCTCTTATATATCACACTAATTTGAGACGTGCTTATCACTCGTGTGATCCTGGGGGCTGTGTGCTATATAGCAGCTGCGACGCTCCTCCAAGGATAATGTGCCCCTTCCTCTCAGGACACAAAGGCTCAGAAAAGCCATTGAGAAACCAAGTGACTGACAGCTGGTGTAGGCAGATGAAAGCTTGCCTCAAAATCTGGCCCAAGGTCTGTGACCTAATTGTCAGAATGGTCCAGGGCATTGAGGTTCCCTGGAGCTGAGGCGATCTGCAGGTCCTCAATCCATGGCTTTCTTTGCCCTCTTACCTAGACCCTAAAGAGAAAAGGCTGCCTCAGATACCTGATACACAGCCAAGTGCCACTTGAAGAATGGTTCCTAATTTGGGGTTTTTCTCCTTCCCTCCCCCAGGGACTGGGGATTAAACCCAGGGCTTTGCAGTTGCTAGGCAGTGCAAATTTGAGCCACGCCCCCAACCCAGGGTTCTCTTCTAGGCACCCCTTGGACCACTGTGTGGAACTGTAGTGAAAAGATATTTCTCTATGGGTGAGAAGACAAGGAATCAAAGCCACTGACCTCAGGGCACTGTGAGCCCATGCTCTGAACCCCTCCCCAGG